GATTGAGAGAAGTCACCAGCAACAGAGTGGGGAGCAGAACAGGCCGATATACTGAAATGCACGACTGAGGGGAGCAGCGGGTGGGTCAGGAGAGGTCTGCCGGGCCATGTGGGTCAGCTCCCTGGGCGGGGATCAAGCTCACACCTCAGCGACTGCGGATCACCTCACTGTGCTGCGCTTTAATCTGTTGCGCCACCAGGGAGGGCCCCAGGTTAAGAATCCTTATCACACAACAACTGGTCTGTTTATTCATCTGGCAAGTGAAGGTGAAGTTCAGCAGCATATGTTGGCCACATACTTGGTACAGAACCTACGTAAACTGCTTAAATATACAAATGGTACAGATGACTTCCGGTGTCAAGCATACAGGTGTGGCTTCAGAGCCATCGCCATCCAGCCCTGTGAACCTCTCCACACTCCGCTCCCACCCTCCTGTTCCAGCAACAAGGGGAGCTCAGGCAGAGAGGCACAGACATGCAAGGGGTGGGAGGGGAAGGGGAAGCAGAATGGGAAAGTGGCCAGCTGATGCAAAGATGAGGACAGCAGGGTCTTGGGAGATATTTTATGACCAACCTCTGGGCCCAACAGAGGTCTTCACAAGCCAGCAGCCAGCCTGGTGCCCCAGAAGCTTGTTTGACAGACAGCTGGGGAATCAGCTGTGAGAACTCCAGCAGCTGAGGTTGGGCTCACAAACAGCAAATGCTGCATTTAAGATGTTAATTCTATGAAGGTCATGGTGCAGCCCCACATACATCACACACTTGAAGATTCCGGCCACACACCTGGGCCTCCTTCAGAGCCTCACTCAGGGGCGGGGGTGGGGGGGGCTATATTGCTCATCCCCAGCTCTCCGAGGGCTCAGTCTCAGCTGACACACACTTGCCCTGGGTTCTAGCCACCCACTAACCAGGAAGGATCGCACCCCACGCCATCAGGCAAAAGGCCAGACAACCACGCGTGATCAAAAGAGAGAAGGTGCTAAGGGGGCAGCTGAATCAATACTTAAATGCTTAAAAAGACGTAAGAGAAGCAAATTGTTGGCTCAGAACTTTGAGTAGGCAGTTCATCGAGGGGTGGATTTGGAATTCCGGTTAAGAAGTACTTGGGTCACCACAGAGGGTACTCTGGGTGGAACAGATGAGCTCACCAGGCTGGAATACTGCAAAAGAGGCCAGTGAGGCCTCCCCAGTGGCGCAGTGGGTTAAGACAAGCACTATGAAGCTACCACAGCACCAATTCCATCTTGGCCTGGGAGCTGGCCCACGGGCTCCTGTCTCCCCCGCTGCTCCCCTCTGCGGTGTATTTCAGTACATCTGCCTTCTGCTCCCCATGCTGTCTCTGGTGAATCCTCTCACCTCTCCTGCACCTCTGGCCTGTATCCCAGTTCTGTATGTATGTAAGTATAAATAAATCTTTTTTAAAAAGATTTATTAAAACAAAATAATAAGGGCCCTCCCTGGTAGTGGAGCAGGTTAAAGCACAGCACAAAGAAGCTAAAACCACTTCAGCATTTCGACCCCCCACCCCCAAGGTGACCACATGGTGCAGCAGACCTCTCCTGGCCTGCCCGCTGCTCCCCTCAGCAGTGTACTTCGTCAGTCGGACTGCTCTGCTCCCCACTCTGGGGTGAAGCTTCTCACGGCCCCCACACCTCTGGTCTGTGCCCCAGCTCTGTATGTGCAAATAAATTTTTAAAAAAAAAAACTTATTAAAAAATAATAAACAAATATTTTTTTTAAAAAAGAGGTCAGCGCACTGTGCCCCTTCACCAGCTGAGTAACCTGGGAAAGTTAATCTCACCGAGCCTCAGCATCGCCAAATGGGAAGATGGCGATCTACCTACAGGCTGCTTCTTTCTTTCATTTTCGTAAGAAAGCACCTGCCATCTCATAGACACCCTGATAACTTTGGTAGCATGTATAGATGTCAACACTGCTGGAACTTTTTGTTCTGACTGACGCGTGAGAAGCAATCCGAAGTGTAGAGTCGCGGCCCCGGGTGGGTGGGAGCGGCGGAAGGGATTCCAGGCAGGGGCAGCCAGGGGTGGTCAGTCCCAAGGCCGTGTCCGCTTCCCATGCCCGAGACCAGCCCCAGGGCTTGAAAGCAGCCCCGTGCGGGAGGCACCTCACACCACTCAGCCCTGACTTCAACAGTCCCCGAGGCTCCCCATCACTACAAACCCTCTCGGGCTTACCTTCCTCAAGCCGGTGCCATGGCCCCAGCTCTCCCTGTCAGTGCCCCCGCCAGACCCACACCCTTACTCTGACGGCACTCTACTCTGGGCAGGCTGAGTCGTTTTCAGTGTTCACCTCGCAGGCCTTTCCCTGCCAGAAAACTATGCCACCTTCCCTTGACCAAGCCACCCTGGGGGGCCCCTGCTCCTGTGGAGTGATGGTACCCTCAACAATTGGGATGAACACTTAATCCCAGCCGCGTGTGAGCTGGGACCCCAGGCACTGGTGGGAAACGCCCAAGGCTCCCCTGGCACACCAGGCGCGGGTTCCCGGGAGCAAGCGCAGAGCGAGACGAGCTCCACCGCCCGGGGCGCGGGTGGCGCCTCCCCGCCCAGGCTCGCCCGAGCGCGGGAGTCACCGGCGGGTCCCGGCCGCCTGTGATTTGCATACCCATGGTGCACCACGAAAAGACCGGTCCGCGACGCGGGAATTCCAGCTCCACAGGGATTTCTCCACTGTTGCGGGACATACTGCCTGCTAGAAATGTGTGGCTGCTACAAACCCCACGCAGGGGAGGAGAGCCGCACAAGTAGCGAACAACCATAACTGTGCTAAGAGTTATCCTGCTCCGGGATGGGCCAAGCGGCAAGCAGAAAGTATACTCTGGTTTCTCTTCAGATCGTATAAATCTTTCGCCTTTTACTAAAGATTTCCGTGGAGAGGAACAATTCTGAGTTTTTACTCAATTTTTTGAGGTCTCGCTTTTAGCGAGACTATCTTTTAAAGTTAAAAAAGCAGAATTATTAAGCTATTAGTAAGCCTGGTGTTCCACTTAGCAGCGGTTGGAGTTATATGTATACAAACCTATAACAATAGGGTTAATGAAAAGGTGTTTATTGAAATAAAACGTGGAGGTACGCTGCTGAGGAAGGGCATTGGGCGAGAGAGGAGGGGTCTGCGGCGTTCTGGGGGTCCCCTTTCTGGCCCAGTACCGACTGCTGCAGCTGCAAGCCGTGCTCTAACCTCTAACCCGTTGTGCCACCCGGGAGGGCCCGCTTACGTCTTTTACTAACTTCTGTTTCATAGTACTAATAGCTTGGTTTCTTACCTATGGATATCTTCCCTAGTTGATTTGTCATGATTTCTCCAGTGGTTTTTGACCTTAAACTGTTGTATGGTACAGATGTGCTCAATAAATAATTTGCAGAGCCAACTGAATATGGTATTTAACCTTTCCCACTATGTATGTGTTAAAGAAAATTCATCCAAACAAGCTTAAATATCTAATTGTATTTATTAAACGACTCCTGAGCCAGGCAGTAGCCCATGGAGCAAGGAAGGATCCTCGGCAAGTTGTACAAAAAGGAAGGTTTTTATTTATTAATGCCAAAGAAAAGATTAGTTCAGGCAAAAACCACCTGATCTCAGGGAAAGGAAAGGGAGAGTCCTTATTCAGATTTTTGTGTCACTAGTACTAACCAAAAAACTCCAGTGTGATTGGTTTTAAAATTCCACTTTGGGGAGTGGCTGAAACTGGAGTTTGGTTAGGTATTAATTCTTGGGCAAGGCCCAACAGGGGAACTCCATTTTGTGCTTATTAATTTTTTTTTTAACGTAAGCACTTTGCAAGACTAATCTTCCTAAGAACCCTACTAAGTAGGTTTTATTATCTTTTATACAAGTAAGGAAAGAGGCATAGAAAGTTGAAGTAGCCTTACTCATGTCACAGATCAGAAAGTAGTGGAGCGAGGATTTAAATCCAGTCAGTGTGGCTCTTGAAGAAACATACTCTTAATTCCTGTGCTATTTGACAGGGTTCAGGAAATGCTACCCCAAAATATGTCACTTTTGTATGTTAACTATTTTATGCTGAATTTGAAGAAAAAAAAAAAAAAGGAAAGGCAGTAAGGGTAGACTGACCAGCTGACCAGTCTACCCCTGCCCTTCTCCCTGAAATACACATAAAACTCAAGTTTGAACAGTGTGATATTCCTAGAAAGGGGAGGTTTCAGGTTCCTTGCCCCCACCCAAGGAAGGGTGGAGCAGAGAGGAGAAGCTAAAGAAGAATGGCAAGAGCACCTGGAAGAGGAAAAAGATGACAGGATACATGGAGCTGAGATGCAAGTGAAGAAGCAGCCATGGTTGCTTCTTGGCGTTGGCCTTGCACCAGGAACTTGAGGGACATGGAAGGAGACACGTGAAAGTGACAGAGGTGTGGGTGAGCGACCCACAGGAAGGCTGACAATGGCAGCCTTTATCTTGCTTGAATTGTGATTTTCCTCTTTTCCTTCCACCCCTTCCCTAGGGTTCCCCACCAGAAGGTGCCTTAGACTTGTGGCAAGCTTTAGAGCCTCAGTGCCGCCACTTTGGGCCAAACCTATTTGGCAGGGCATTTCACCTATGAAAGTATGAGTAATTTGGGGTGTTTAAACTCTTTTAATTATATTCTTTCTCTTCTCTCTATTGCATACTAATTGTATAAAAGTTCTTTCCTATTGGAGGTTTTAGCCCTAAGAATATGTTTGTCTATGCAGCAGATGGCAGAATCCATTAGAAATGGTGCACTTGGTGGTCCCAGGAAACCTCTCACTTTGCCCATTAAACAAACTAGCGCAGAGAACAGGATCCCCTTTATTTCCAAAGACAAAGGGACTCTGACAACCAGACAGGCCTTGCTAAACTTCCCCCAGTTTGTATTTAGTTCACACACTAACCTCATATTCTTCCGCAAATGTCCACTCTTCAAAAGTAATGTAAAAATACTCGTGTTTAAACCATTTTCTTCTGATCTTTATTTTTTTATGAGAACTACCATGTCATGTAAAATATGTATTAAGCAAATGCACATTTTTTTCTTCCTGTTAATCTTTGTCAACTGAAAAGTAATAATCACCACTGTGATGAGAAAAGTAAAGACATTTTATTTTCCAGAGTCAAGAATGAAGGCCAGCCCTCAAGTTCTGATCAGTCGCTGCTCCCACGAGACCCCCCCAGGGTTCCCACTTATATACCATGGCCATAGACAGGATGATTACAGTAAAAAAAAATCATTACCCAGGGGGAAATGAGTAACACCAGAGAGGGCTTAAATGTCTGCTTAAATGCCATCATCACTAAAGATGAAAGAAGTGTGGGGAAGCCGGTTATGGGGAAGTCACCAGGGAAAGCACGGAAAACAAGGCTAAGGTTTGTTACGCAGATTTCAGTGGGTGCCGGCACTGAGAAGATAGATGCTCTCTTGGGTTAGTCATCCTTCTTTTCTGGTACATAGGGAGCCACCCTCACAAGCTATTTCCTTTATAAATGTAATGTCCCTCAGCAAAGGGTAAGCTCCGTTTTCAGAGCATCTCCTATTTATGGAAATAATACTTAAAGTCAAAGTAGCCTATTTCGAGGCTCTCTCCGCACATCTACCACGCTTCAGCCTCTCAGAAGGTAGATGTCAAGGAGCAGATAAGAAGGACAAGGCAGGGACGAGGCCCGTTTTTAGGTTTGGGCACCCGGGGAGATGGACGCTGGGATAAGAACTGGTGGGAGCGCGATTCTGGCCCGAGTCCGAGGTTTCTGCGGGGCCTTCAGGGGCGCCACCTGAGGAGGCAGAATTAAAGATGGGGCTAAGCTGAAATGCAACGGAGGGGCAGGAAGAGCGGGTGCGGCGGCAAGTGCAAGGCCTCCGCGCACACTCCGGGCAAGCACAGCAAGCCCCCGCCCCGCAACCCCGCAGAACGCAGCAGAACCCCAACCCCACCCACGGACGTTGTGAGGGGCGCCGGCGCGCCTGCCCCGCCAGCTGGGACCGGAAGCCAGCTGTGAGCGGCAGCTGGGACCGGAAGCCAGCTGTGAGCGCAGGGCCTGACGGGAGCTGTAGTTTGGGGTGGGCCCAGGTGGCCTCTCCAGTCACGGCCTTCTTAGTCACTTAAAGGTCAGGTCCAGAAAACGGTGGTGCTCCCGGGGCACGGTGCCTCTCCGGCGGCGGCACGGGGGGCCCCGGGACGCGTCCCCCCTCCGCAGGGCGTGGCACTTCCACGCCTCCACGATCTGCTCCACCTGCAGCAATAGGCTGGTTACCGCCGAGTCCCCGGCCCTGGGCCTGAGCCCCCCCACGCCGGGCTTCCACTCCACACACACACACACACCCCACCCCCCGGGCCTCACCCCCACCCTCCACCGGGTGGCTCTGAGCCTGGTCCCCTGTATCCATCCGCACCGGGATGAGTGGCTCCCGCCGGTTCTGCTCCTCCAGGGCGCTCAGCTCCGCTGGGGCCAGCAAGGCCAGCCTCAGCTCGCGCACCACAGGGGCCACCACTTCGGCCACGGGCCGCTGCAGCACCGCCTGCGAAAGCCAGACGGTCGGGGTTCTCGCTCCGCCACTCGCTTCCCGGTTCCTGAAGCCCGGGTGTCCTTCAGCGCCCCCACCCCGCGTCCCTCTTAGGCCCCACTCACCGCGCCCACACGCGCCCAGCTCCGGGCGGCCAGAACGAGCTCAGACTCGTCCACGCAGAGCTTGTCGCTGCGCAGCAGGGGCAGCAACGCGGGCGCTGACAGCTCCAGGAAGCCGCGGGTCCAGAGCGCCTCCTGCGGGTCCCAGATGGGTCAGGGAGGAGCAGAGTGAGGTGTGCGGCTGGAGGATGAAGATGCGGGGAGGGCTGTACCTGGCTGTGGGCCTCTATGAAGGCTATGCAGCTCTCCTGCAGCGGCCCCAGGCCAAAGGTTACGGCAACCTGGGGCAGAAAGAGGAAGGTCAGGCTGGAGACCAGAGGCCAAGTTCCCCGGGCCTCTACACCAGGAGGACTGGCAAGCCTGTCCAACAGCCCTCACCTGCAGGGCCTCACAAACCAGCTCCACATCCAGCACCTTCACCACAAACTCCAGGCAGAGCTGAGAACAAATATGAATGTGGGTTGTGCCAAGATCCGGGACCCCAGCCCCACCCAGAAGCAACCAGCTGGCTTAGAACAATGAGCCACCCAGGCTCCCAGCCCTCCAGACCCACCCCGACCTGCCAGGACTGGGTCAGCAAAGAATCACCTTGGCCTAACGCTTGGCAAACCTGGAGGGTCTCAGGACTTGCAAAGCCGAGCCTAGTGACCTTTTCTAGCATATTCTCCACCAGTTAGACCAATAAGAGCCATGCAAAAATACTCTCCCTTTCAGGGCTCTTCCACCACTTGTCCCCTTCTTCACTCACTCTTGACCACACCAGTCCCCCTCTCCAAGCTCATCTTCCTTTCACACTCTTATAATCCAGCTATACTAAAAACTTACTAGTTCCTTTTATATCTCTGTGACTAGAATGCCATCTTCCCACCCCCCCAATCTAAACAAACTTCTACCAGACTACTTCCTCCTCCAGGAAGTCTCCCCAACTCTCCACAGTAGCAGGACTAGATACATCCTCCGCATTCTCAGAACCATTTGTCTACATCTGTCACACGACTTTGTCACTGGGTTGTGTTTTCATGTCTCTTTTCGCTTGAGAACAGGAATCAGGCTGACTTATTTTTGTGTCTACAGCACCAGGCATAACCACTCTGTATGCCTCACAGAAAACAGGGCACACACAAATGTTATCTCCACAGGGAGCTACCCATATTTCTCTTTATGCTGGCACCCAGCCAATCCAGCAGTGTGTGAGACAGTAAGAAGCCAGGCCACACAGACAAGGGAAATGAGACAGGGGCAGGCATAAAACCCACCTCTCGCAGTTCCTCCAGCCCATACTCCACAGCTGCTGTCAGCACCTCCAGCACCTGCAGAATGGGTGATTGGGGGGATGGACGGGAGTTTCCCTCATCTCTCAGCCCACCCCCTGCTTCTCCCAGCCCTGGTGGGCTCACAGAGTGGCGGTGCAGCTTGACAGTGTTGGTATACAGGAACTCCAGCACTGCCAGGAAGGCCTCAGCTGGAACAGTGCTTAGCACCACGGGGTTCGGTACTGCTGGCCCTGGTTCCAGGCCCAGAAGTTGCTGGAAGAATTTGCATCTACAGGCCAACAAGCACCGGTGGGCAAACACCTCCTGCCGTTCTTGACCAACTACAAAGCGAATATCACTGTGGGAGAGAGAGGCAGAGAGCTGGAGGAGAGGAGGTCAGACAAAACAGCTCTTGGCTTGTCTTCGCCCACTCGGCCTCTGGTTCCTTAGCTACCACAGAAGAGCCAGAGCAGAGCCCTTCCAGCAGAAGGTCCGGAACACGCAGACCTGGGTCCTAAATGACTTTCTGTCTTTGTGTTTGGGGCTACCTACCTATGAACTGGAATGGTAGGCCTCCCTAGTTAAGAGGTTAAGCCTCAACACTATCACCCCAGCAGCGGGAGTTCCATCCCCGCCCAGGGAGCTGACCCACATGGCACAGCAGACCTCTCCTGTCTCACCCGCTGCTCCCCTCAACAGTGTATTTCAATCTGCCTGTTCTGCTCCCCACTCTGTTTCTAGTGAATCTGCTCACAGCCCCTCCCCCACACCTCTGGCCTACACTCTATTTCTTTTACACAAAAATAAAAAATTTTTTAATTAAAAAAAAAAAGAAATGGAATGGTAATCCCAAGACCTCAATTCTCAAAAGAAGTGGCTTCATCACAGGGGGAGGGGAGACCACAGCTGATGCCAGCAAAATTTAACCCACATCCCTCCACACCCTCCCCCACCACACCCTGCCTCCCCAGCCTGAGTCTTGGGGGAAGAGAGGCTTTTTTTGGCGTCTCCACAAACTGCAAACAGAGCTTTTTTTCAGACTCCTTCAGACAGCAGGGACTGCAGAGTGCACTGACTGCAGACAAATCAGTCATGCACCATCATGAAGCTAGACCACATTTTCCATTGTCATGATCACTTCCGGCCCCAGCCTCTGGGCCTCAGAACAATTTTAGGAGAAGGATCCAGTAGATGAAGCCTGAGTTACCTGGAACCTCTTAGTCCCTGGTCCAAGAGCTAGGGTCTCATGACTCAGGCAAAACTGGGGTCCCTAAAGCAATAGGGTTATGCCCTTAAGGGGGAAACACAGCTTTGAGGCAATGAGACAGATAACTGCATTCTAGTTCTCTGGAGCAGCCCCCCTCCCCCCACCCCGATTTCAGACATCTAGCATCCTGAGCAGACCATGAACCCACAACACCACCTTTGAACTACTTCCTTTCTGACTCAGTTCCTTGAGCTTTGTTACTCTGTGTTCCCTCCCAGAATCCGGGGAGCTCTTCTCTGCCAGAGATCACCAATAGGAAGGTCTTGGCCTGAGGTCACACAACTGCTCTGAGCGCCAGCCCCTTTACCTCTTCCTCCCCACTGATGGATCTCAGGATATGGAGGAAACTGAATGACCAGTAGCCACCTTCTACACTTCCCCAAGCTGAGTTCACCAGGGAGGAAGGTCAAGTCCGAATTCCCCACCTCTTCTGTAGTCAGAGCTTCGTCACAGAATCCTGGGGCCCAGCCGATACTGCTAGGGAAAACCCAGACAGGGGCTATCCCTCACCTGTATAGGGGGTTGTTGACGAGGCTTCGGAGTGCTGTGGAAAAGGACGACGTCTCCCCTTGCACAATCAGTCCTGGGGTCTCCATGGGTAGGTGGGGCAGAGGGAGTAAACAGGTAGAGTAGGCTGCTTTCCGTCTGTGAGGTGGTGGGTAGAAAGAAGCCGGAGGCCTGTCCAGGCCTTAGAACTGGCGAAGAGACTAGAAAGGCCAGAAAGGGCGGAGCAGGAGCTTCAGAGGCCTGTTTGCTGAGAAGCTAAAGTTTTAGGGATGGGGAAGGAGAGGCCCGTGTTCCTAATGAAGCCATCAGAGGCCTGTAGAGGAAGCTCAAGCTTCTACTCAGGGTTAGACTCCCGGCAGGGGCCAAGAGAGAGCTGGAGTTGATCTAGGAGAGGCTGGCGGCTGGAAGTTGGCAGCGGATGAGGCCCCAGCTGGGAGCCTGCCCAGGCAGCACTGGGGTGGGAAGCCAGTGGGTTTCCACGGAAACTGGAGTGCGGCCTGAGGGAAGGCCCCGCCCATCTCTCACAGGTCCAGGGTAGCTTCAGCCCTGAGTGGCCATAAGCAAAGTCAGAGGGTCTTTAGCATCCTGGCCCTGCATTCAAAGTTCAAAATCCTTGAGCCTCTTCACTTCTGCTTTAAACACACAGTGTCTACATCAGGTTTGCTAGGCCTGGGGAAACCCCCCTCAACAGGGAAAGTCCTCTCAATCCCATGGACAGTTTCCTGGGCCCAGATCTGGCTTGTTTGGGCAATCCCATCCTGAGGGGGTTAGGGGGAGGTCAGGTGAGGAGCATCAGGCCTGAGAAAGGCATCATAATCTCTGGCATCCCTGAAATGCAACTCGGTGTTGAGGGGAGGGTAGGTGGGATGTAATCTGGAGGCCAAGGAACACGAGGTGTGGCCAGATGGGAACAAGCTCTAGGACACTTGGGTCAGCAGGGGTCAGAAAGCTGAACTAGGGTTCATTGCAAGTCAGTGCTGTGTCAGGGAGAACTGACTGTCCCAGCCCCCCTTCACTCCGGCACACAGCCCTGAGCAAGGAAGTCATCCAAGCCCCACCCTAGCTCTGTACTGGGAGCGGAAATGTTTGTCCTTGTTGAGGCTGATGAGGAGACCATAGAACCATGACGTACTCCTTCCTGTGGGCTGGATCCTGATTCCTGAACAGCCACCCCCGCAGTCTCAAGGCCTCCCCAAATCCCAGGCCTCTGTGACTTGCTCACAAGAATGGAGTCAGACTTCACAAGGGAGAAATGGGTGGTGGCTAAGAGCCCTGGGTTAGGACAGTACTTTCTGACAAGAGCCTCTCTCTGTGTCCCTTCAGTGACTACAGTCTTGTAGTACCCTGGCACCTCTGGTTCAGCACATGCTCATTACCATGCTCAGGTTAAGCCGGAGGCAGGACTGGAGGAAAGGAAGCAAGGAAGGAGTGTTTGCTTAGCAACCCATGGCAACGCCACAACATAGGCCCGGGCCTTGACTCTCCCACCACCAAGGGCTGTGGAATGAGAGATCGGAGGCCAGAGGCTTCAGGTGACTCAGAGGCCTGCCTGCCCTGCGGGAGTTTCGAGAGGAGAGGGCAACATCCCAGAATTGAATTTGGAGGTAAGGCCAGAAGCCAGAGGCAAGTTCATGAGTCACCTGCCCCCAGTCTGGTCTGAGCCAGTTTGTGTGTGGGGGTGGGAGGTGGGGTCTTTGTATAAGCCACCCTAGGAACAAGTAGGGTGTAAAATGACTGGATTCAATACCCAGAGCTAGAAGGATCTGTAGCTCTGGGATCTCTAAAGGATTTGGAACTGTCTGTCCTTCCTTCTGGCTTGGGGTTGAATGTCCAGGATGAGGCAGAGGCAGAGAGATTTCCCCCTTCTGGCAAAGTCACCTGGAAAGGAAAAAAGGCAGTGTACTCAGCTCACCTAGTTAACCCCCAGAGGGAAAGTGGAGTTTAGGGAGCAAGAGCTAGCCCAAGATGAGACTCTGACCAGCATCTCTTCTCTTGCTTATGTCCCTAACAGCCCTGAACCTAGGAATCCACATACCTCCAGACTACTTGAGTCACCTGTTCTCAAATCATAGGTGAGAAGGTGTTAAAGGCGGGGAAACAGCCTAAGAGACTAGGTGGTGTTCAGAGGTGCCCGGTGAAGCAATCCTGTCCCAGTGTGGGTCTTCCAGTCCACAGGTCCATGGCTGGAAAACCTATGCTCCCTGGATGTCAGGAAGAGGAGACTGCTAAAGACCCGGGGCCGAAACTGTCCCTGGCACAGCCCCTAGGCCGCCTGCCCAGCATCGATGAGGCCCGACCAGAGGCCCGACCAGCAGGTCCGGGCCCGGCCTCCCGCCGGGGTTCAGTGCTGGGCCTCGCCTCATCCTTCTCGCGGCGCAACTCGCTGGCCGGGCCAGGCTTGGGGGCTGGAGGTCGGCGACCATCGCAATGCCCAGTGCCCCCTCTAGCCTCGCGGGTCAGCTTCTCGGGGTTGCCCCTGGCGCCTGCCCGTCGGGTGGCGCCCTCGTACCGCACTGAGCCGGCACCCGGGGAGCGCTGGGAGGCAGCAGCCGCACAGCGAGCCCTGGAGGCGGCGCTAGCCTCGCGCCTGCGCGATATAAGCTATTCCGGTGCAGAAGCGGGGTCGCTGGCTCGGGAGCTCTGCGATCAGGTGCGAGTGCGCCTGCGCGAGCTCTGCCCACCGCGCTACAAGCTGGTGTGCAACGTGGTGCTGGGACCGCGCGCCGGCCAGGGCGTTCGCGTGGTCAGCCGCGCGCTCTGGGACGCGGCGCGCGACGGGCTGGCTTCAGCTTCTTTCACCAACGCGTCGCTCTTTGCCGTGGCCACAGTCCACGGGCTCTACTGCGAATGAGATCACATTCCACTTCTGCAAAATGGTTTATTATCCCAGGAGAATGGCTCCGCTGGGGCTTACACCTCAATAAATAAATGTCTTGTCAATAAATAAAACTGGTCCATAAATAATGCCCCCTAGCTGGGGGCTAAGGCTCAGGCTTATCTTGGAGAAGGGGCAGGAGACACCTAGGATAGGTGGCTCCAACTCCAGTAAAGCTGGTCCCTGATTCCCTGGGGGATCCGGGCCAGAGCCCCCAGTGAGGCACCAAAGGGACAAGGAGGGCCACAAAGGAAAAGGCCAGAACCGTACAGGTACAGGCCAGAGGCCTGAGGGCTTAGGTTGTGGCCTGCTCTACACGTTGGGGCTAGGCTGCAGGGCAGCGGTCCCGGAGCAGGCGCAGAGCGTAGCGGAGTCGCTGCCGCAGGTCTGGGGAGCATCCCAGCTGGCCAAGGTGGGAGGCGAGGTAAGTACAAGCACTGCGATTGCGGCCCACAAAAGTCACAAGGAGGGGCTCCCAGCCACTGAGGATCAGCTTGGTGTGGTCCCCGTAGAAGTTCACCTGTGCACAGGAGAGCAACACTGTTTACCAGGATCCAGGCTGTTTCTTCCCCAGCTCTCTGGGCCTCACAGACCTTCCCCCAACTCCAGGAGGGGCTCCTACCTGGACAGTGCCATCACTAAACAGCATGAGTAGGGCCTGATCCGTCTTGACCCACTGCAGCAGGAGCGGGGGCACAGGCACCTCTACTTCTTCCACACTAGGCAGGTCTCCACCCTGGAAGCAGGGGCAAGTCACTTGTCTGACACTGGCAGGCCCTCCTTGTATAGGTCTCCCTTAGAGGTTCAGCCTCTAGCTTTGAGCACAGCTCTCCCACCCCAAAGGGGAAGATGAAGGACTCAGAATGTTTTAGTTCCCAGTGTATCACACCCAGTCCACACACCTTCATGAGGTGCTGCTCCATGTAGGAGGCAAAATACCGCAGGACACCCAGCTGAGGCTGCAGGGCCCGAGGCACAGCACTCACAGAGAAGGAGTAGTGCTTTGTGCTGGTGGGGTTGTAGTGTACAGTCCTAGAGCAGAGGAGACAGAGGTCAGCAGGAGCCAGCCCTGTCACCCCTCTCCTGAGAGCTCCCAGGCCCCAGAGTCCAGACCGAAGGTGCAGTCCTCCTGGGACATGGGCCCAGACACTAGGCACCGAACATCAGCACTTACTTTTTGTTGGCTGACAGGGCCATGTGTGTACCATTGTTGAAGAGCACAGCCACGCGGCGGCTAGACAGTTGATACCCAAAGCCAAACTTGTTGGAGTAGTCAACCCACTTGCTGACCCATACCAGCGGCTCTGGCTGTGCCAGGGGAGCTGGGTTCTGTTCCGCTGTCAAGGGAGAGAAAAGAGGAGATTGTTTCTCATCTCCTGCTAGTCAGAGGACTCCTATACCATTCATAGGACCAAACCGCAACCGTACCTGGGGGCATGAAGGCCAGGCAGTTTCTCAGAGCACAGAGGGCTGACTCTACCACAGTAGTCACAGTCAAACCTTCTTCAAACCCTGAAGGGAACAGGGCAATGAGGATTAGACGTTAGTCACCCAGGACCCAGACTATGTCCCTCTGCCCACTCTTTCCCTTTGGTCCCTGGCTTAACCCCAGCACCCACTAGCACCTCTCATCCTCCTGGCTGCTCACCATCTCCACTACTCGCCAGAGTCCCACGGGGTGAGCTGTCTTCAGGTGGTGTCTCTACCAAGCTGAGGGGGCCTGGACCAGAAGCTGCTGGTGCCTGGAGGGTTAGGTAGGGTTAGGTCAGGAAAGGGAGTGAGGTGAGCCCAAGAGCCAAATCTTCGAGAGTCCATGGCTCAGCCCTGCCCTAGCTGCTAGGGCACCTCGGGTCAGCCCCGCCTGGCTAATGAGACACAGCCAATTAGGGCACCACGAGGCAAGATGCTTCACTAGCCTCTTTTATCCCAGCTTCCCACAGCTGCTAGGGTGGGGGTGAGTCAGGAGAATACTGCCCACGTGAGCATCTCACCTCGGGCCTGGCATTCTGATGGCCAATGGATGTCCGGTTGAGGCCATTCACCAAACAAGAGACCTCATCCCGCTCTTCAGGATGGTTTTTACCTGGGGAGGGGGTGGATATAGCCCTCAGCCCGCTGCCTAGACCCCTACTTCCCACAGAATAGTACAGATAGGCATACCCAAGTGCCTATGTAACACACACTCTCCTCGGGGGTTTACAGGCACCCAAACTCACACCCCCAAAATGTATCAAGTCCCCCTGCTACTCTGTACCCTCAAACTATTGACATCCGAGGCTTACTCTTATTCTTCTTCCGGCCAAAAAGGCTCTTGGTAACCTTGACAAACAGAATTCTAGCTGGATTCAGGGGTATCAGTTCTGGGACTGTCACACAGCTGCTGACAGGGAGTCGGTCCGGAGTGTAGCCCTGAGGAGGGGAGCCATGTGAAACACAGAGAGACCCCAGGGGTCCTGACTGCCCCTGTTCAATTCCCTGGGAATATACAAACTGGTGCTGCTCAAGTCACAGACCTTGGTAAAGAAGTCATGGCGCAGGATCTGGTCGATTGAGGGGCGGTCTTGGGGTGAGGCTCGAAGAATGGTGGCAAGGAGCTGCCGGGCGGACTGTGAAAGGCTGGCGGGCAGTGTGTAGTGAACCTGCTTGATGCAGCGGTACGTCTCCTTCAGGTCAACTGTCTCAAAGGGGGGGCTCCCACACAGCAGCGTGTACCTGTGGGGCAGAGCTAAAGGGGTCAGCAGTAGAGTGGAAGGTGTGCCCCCACCGTGCCCCCACCTGTGTGCAGATGACCCTGGGACTCACATGACACAGCCCAGGGACCATATGTCTGCCTCAGGACCATGGCCCTGTCTCTGCAGCACTTCTGGAGCCACGTAGTTGGGAGTACCACAGATGGTCCTGAAAAGGGGCAGGAAGGGGGAGAGGAAAAGGTTCAGAACCAGTCAGCACCCCCAGCCCTGCCCCCACTGTGAGTGCAGACAAAGCAGCTGCCTGTCACCAAAGGCAAGAGAACTCCTGCTTGTCCTGGGACAATGGATGCCAGGGATGGCAGCTGAGTCCCCACCCACTCGCCTGGCCCAGCTGCTCAGCTGTTCTGCAGGACAGGGAGAGGCCCTGACCCCCAACCCAGTCCTCTCCTCCAGGGTCAGAGGGTCCATCACAGATGCGCTCCCCTTTTCCCAGTCCCGTCTGTCAGACACCCATACAGACTGTCACTTCCCATGGTCTATGTCACACACACCAACACCAGCTGTCACATCCCCATGAACGTTCATCTGCCACACTTGCTCTCTCTGCTACTCACACCCGTCAGAGCCACAGCAGGGCTTTCTTACACAACCTCCAGGGCATCCAGTCCTCCCACTCCCACACGCTCAATCTGTCCCCCCACACACCTAGCCCCATCCACACACAGAGTCAGCCATACACCTCCAGAATCCTTACACACCCTTCTGTCTCAGGGACTCACACACGCACAGGACCCTCAGCCTTTCCACCTGTGCCAGTAACCCAAGCTGCCACCTCCACCCTCACATACGCACAAACAGCCATCATCCCTTCCCTACTATCACATGCACATATCAGACAGTCATCTTGCCTCCCACACACAGTCACGCATATCACTGTGTCACACACAGACTGTGGCCACCCCCCTCCTCAATCACTCACTTCTTCCTATGCTCTGGGGGTTCCATCCGGGTTGCCAGTCCAAAATCCCCCATTTTCAGTTCCATGTTCTCAGTGATAAAAAAATTTCCTGGACCGAGACAAAGCGGTGTGTCAGACGCCTTTCTCTCTGACTCCCCGGCTCCCCATACTGGCCAAGCAGTCTCACCCAGCTTGAGGTCTCGGTGCAAGATGCCTCGCTGGTGTAGGTACTTTAGTCCAGAGAGGATCTGTCGCAGGTAGTAGCGCACTTCTGGCTCCAACAGGGTGTGCCGAGCCTTCCAGATGTGGGCAAGGGACTGCGGAGAGTCACTGCTCAGTCTCTGGGTTGCTCTCCCTGACCCTCCCTGCACCCAAGCTAGCTGAGGAAGAGACAAGACCCCAACTCTGGGTATTCAGGTTCCCTGCTACGCACAAGACCGACAACATCCCTTCACCTTTCGGCTGCAGAGCTCCAGGAAAATGTATATGTTGTCTGCATCCTCAAAATGGTGTGAGAAACGCACGATGTGGCGGTGCTGCAGATCGCGGTGCAGCTCAATTTCGTTCAAGATCTACAACAAGGCCGGGAGTTGTCATCTTCCAAGGGCTCCGCGCCACCATCCAACCCCACCCTACCCCTTGTCCACAGGGCTTGGGCCCAGGCCCACCTTCTCCCGCTGATGTGGCTTAGTGATGCGGCTCTGCGAGATGACTTTGACAGCATAGGCGTTGCCAGTCTCTGTGTCAGTGGCCTCGTAGCAGCGGGCGAAGCCCCCCTATGAGGAAGGGGCATCAAGCAGGGCGCTCCAGGGAGGCCGGATCTGGTTCAATGACGTCCCGGGGCAGGAGCCCCCGACCCGCCTTGTCCGCAGCCAAAACAGAGGCCGGTGGGCACCCTTCCATCCTCACTAGCACGACTCCCCGATCGGTCCCCAGCTTACCTTGCCCAACAGGCGGCCTTTGGAGTAGGTGCGGCCGCTGCGTGGGTCAGTGATCAGACGTGCAGTGTCCGGCGCCGGCGGCCCGGCCAGCACCTCGAGCTCGGGACCCGTCGAGGCACTCCGAGGCGGCCCCGGCCCGGCGGGGGGCGCGGGTGGGGCGGCAGCACGCGGGAAGGGGCGCGGGGACAGGAAACCGGCGGCGGGTTCCATGCCGGCTGTGCGTCGCAGCGCGGGCCCGCCTTGTTCAGGGTTCCGCCCGGCCCCGGCTGCGCGTGGCGCTGCCTAGATTCGCTACGCTGCGCTCGCGCCCGAGGGAGCCCGGCGTTTTTATCAATGAACGCCTGCCCCCTTCCCTACACCCCGTCACCAAGACACCGCCCCCTTCGTGGCAGCGAATCACCGAGGAGCAACGCCCCTCCTGCGGTCTGACGTCATCCAGAAGCTCCTCCTCCTCCCAGCCCGAGCCCCTGGAGGCTGAGCCTCCAGCTCAAGCGCTAACGATGCAGCTCTTACTGCTAGTCACTGCGGTGGCGACCAGGATGTCTGCGGCTGCGGTTTCCCAGTCCCCTCACCGATCCCGCCCTAGTGACAGCTAGTGCCGTTAATGGAGGTCCCTTTCTTTCCCCATCCTTTGCTGATGTCTGAGTGCGGGCTGGACACCTGGGGCGTTTCCCCAGCAACGACGTGGACCAATGTTCCAGACAGGAGTGGAGAGGCCGGGCTGGCACACTCCCCTTTTAGTGCGGTGACCACAAGTGCGTCCCCTGCCTATGGCCAGAGCCCGCGGGCACGGTCCAGCCCTGTCCCCTTCATGCCTGGGAGGGATTGTGCACTCTCAAATTTGCTGGTAGAAGTGAGGTGGCAGCCGCCTGAGCTGCCTCCGCCTGAGCTGCCTCCTAGCGTTTCAGGGTCAAACAAGGCCTGGCATTAAACGCTCTCATCGTGAGTCAGGCTCCATCATCTGCTACCCACTTTCACACACCTGAGGGGCAGACTTTGGCTCTTGCAAGGTCTCCTATTGCCTTCCCCTGAAAACACCTACTATCCAGAGTCAGCGCCAGAGGCCAGAAAGTGAAAAATAGGGATTGGATTTTCTCAAATCTAGTCAAGGACAACAGGGCAGGTGGTCCTGGAGCCCTTTGACCCTTAGGCCCCTGGTCAATGCCGCCCCGTCCCAGGGCCAGAGGCAGAGACAGGGTCTAAGTCCCTCTAGAGTGTTTGTCCAGGCCTTGTCCTTCTGGCCATTGTACCCTTACTGTACCACCAATCAATTATTAAGCCACTCACTTAATCCTCGGAGATTTATTGAGAGCAAAGCACTGAATAAGACTAGTCAAGTCTATAGACCTGGTCTAGTTTACACAATGCTGATGGAAACAGACAATAGGCAAGGATATAAACAAAGTAATTGCAGGCTATGAAAAGTGCTATAAAGGAAGTAAACGGAAGAGTAGCCAAAGAGCCTACTTTAGAAAGAGTAGCCAGAAAGACAACAAATATTTATCAAGTGCCACTTCCTATCAGTTTTATCTCCCAAATACCTCTGACATCTATCCACTTCACTCCATCTCCCCTTCACACCTTCATCTAGGCAACAGTCTCTCTGGTTAGGATTATTGTTCATCTCTCTGTCCTGTTCATTGTCCTCCCTCCATATGGCCCACAGGGCCAATCCCTCATCAGGAGGCCCACAGGGCCTACTTCTCCAAGTTTGTCCTTCCTGGACTGAAGGGACAACCAAAACAGCCTGAGATGTGGAGACCACTAGCTCAGATGAGTGACAAGAGTAAGGATGGGTGGGAAGGCCTAAAATGTCATATTCAGAGTCTGTTCAACAGTTTTCCAGGGGACATGATAATGGTGGGGCTAGAAGGATACATTCACACAGAAAAGGGGGCTGAAGTATGTATAGGTTTGAAAAGTCATATTTGATACTACAATTTTACATTTGGAAAATACAGCAAAATATATTTGTGGCTAAATTGGCCATCGCAAAATACCACAGACTGTGCCATTTAAACAGGAATTTCTTTTCTCACAGTTTTGGAGGTTAGAGTCTTCGCTTGGTGGTCTTTTCCCTTTTAACTTCACCAGACTTTTGCTCCACGTATCCTAAACTCTTCTTCCCATAAAGTCATCAGTCAGATTCAGGCCACCTAAAAGCGTCAGTTTAACTTAATCATATCCTTATAGGTCTTATGTCCAAATGTAGTCACATTCTAAAGTACTGGGGGTTAGGACTTCAGAGGAGTCAAAACTTTACTTCCACCTTCTTAGGTTTTTAGATATGGCTTTCCAATAGAAACAAACAAAATTATTTCATGTATAACTTATGTACATATGGGATATACCCAGGAAAAAATTACCAACTCTGCTGTCTTAGTACTCAGGCTTAAATATCATCTTAATAGGAATAGCAGATGGGGGAGGTAGTAAATTTGGTAAAGTAAGGGAGATTTTTTTTTTAAGATTTATTTATTTATGGATACAGAACTGGGTTCCAGGGCAGAGGTGCAGGGATGGTGAGAGGATTCACCACACTCAGAGCAGGGAGCAGAACAGGCAGATAGATGAAGTACACTGCTGAGGGGAGCAGCGGGCGGGTCAGGAGAGGTCTGCCTCACCATGTGGATCTCCTCCAGGGCAGGCGGGATCAAACTCATGCAGAAGTGGCTTTAGCTTCTAAGTGCTGTGCTTTAACCCGCTGTGCCACCAGGGAGGGCCTGTAAGGGAGATTTTTAAAAAAGATTTATTTATTTATGCATACAAGAGCTGGGGTGTAAGCCAAAGGAACGGGGGAGGTGAGAGGTTCACCAGAGACAGGGTGGGGAAAAGAACAGGCAGATCTACTGAGGTACACTGCTGGGGGGAGCAGCGGGTGAGATAAGAGAGGTCTGCTGCGCCACGTGGGTCAGCTCCCTGGCTGACTTGACGGTAGCTTCATAGTACTGAGACTTAACTTTTGCACCACCAGGGAGGCTCAGAGGAAAGAGTTCTAGGAAAGACAAATGGGCCCTTAGAAGAATGGATGAGAGATATAATAGCCTGTGATAAAGTTTGTCTGGATGTGGTATAGACCGATAGTCTCCTGTCCCACATAGGAGAGGAAACTCCCAAGAAGCAAATTTATGACCACTGAGTACTTTTTAGAGGATCTTAGGCAGATAAAGGAGTTCAGAGAAAATCTCAGCCTGCATGTACTGTTTCTCGGCTGACTACAGCTCGAAAGAATCAAGATGCCAAGGTGGCATATTTCTTTTATCCTTTATCACCTTTGCCCCTTGGGAAGTTGAAAGGTCTGAGCTGTCCTGCAGCAACCAGGAGAACTCCCCTTGGTGCTTCACCTAAAGGGCTCAGTAGTCCGCTCTGGCTGGTGTAACGTGCTCTACCATGAATGGGGCTCATGCAACCCCCATTTGGCAGGCACTAGAGTGTGTGTTTATCCTCTCGGCTGCTCACAGTAACCATATAATGTGTCTGGGATTGTTATCCCTACTTCGCCATTGAATAAACTGAGAGTGACTCAAGATTAAACAACTTGTCCAAGGTCATATACAGCTACCAAGGGCCAGAGGCAAGATCTGAACCTAAACCTGTGTAATGTTACTCTTTGCCATTGCCCAGCTTTTCTGGGGTCATTGAATCTCTGGCCTTGTACTTCCTCGTGTTCACTGTTCCATGTGTCTCTTACTGGTATCCTTTCTCCTCTACCTGGAGACTCTCAAAACCTCTGCTCGAACTGAGCTTTTTCTGAGGAGTCTCCATCCCCCAGAAGGTGCTGTCAGGCTGGCTGCCCTTGGGAGAGCACAGCCCCACACTCTGGCCGCTTCACAGCTCAGCGTCAGTCTCCTGGTAGTGTCCGATCACAGAAGTTAAGGAATACTTCAAAAATGAGAAAAGAGGCCTCCCTGGTGGCTTGGGGGGCGGGGTGGGGGGAATAGTCTCAGCACTGTGAAGCAATCCGCAGCCTCTGCAGCATGAGTTCAATCTCTGGCCAGGGAGCTTACCCACAAGGCTCAACAGACCTCTCCTGTCCCGCCCACTGCTCCCCTCAGCAGTGTGTTTCAGTCAAGCTGCCTGTTTTCTCCCCACTCTGTCTCTGGTGAATCCTCCCACACCCCTAGTCTGTACTCCAGTTCTTGTATGCATAAGTAAATATTTTTTTTCAAAGGGTTTTATACTTTAATTTTTTATACTTTGCGTTTTTATATTATATATGTATTTTTAAACATCATTCTTTCTTTTGTGCATTTTTTTCATCTCAGTTGTAATCCCCAATAAATAAATCTTAAAGAAAAATAAAAAAGAGAGAGAGAGAGAGCTGTTGAGTAAGGCCAGGTCTCAGGAGGGACTACTGGAGTCAGCAGCCTGGAGATCTTAGCTGTCCTTGGTGGGTACAGTGGGGGATGTACTAAAGCCTGAGCAGAGAGGAGTGATGTTCATACTACCGTAGACTTCATACTTGCCAGGTACTTTTCTAAGCATTCATCTATTTTTTTCCCCAAACATTTATTTATTTATGCATACAGAACTGGGGTACAGGCAAGGGGCGGTGAGAGGCTTCACCAGAGTCAGAGTGGGAGCAGAACAGGCAGATGGATGAAATACACTGAGCAGCGGGTGGGACAGGAGAGGTCTGAGGCCCATGTGGGTCAGCTCCCTGGCTGGGGATTAACTCTCTTGAGTCCATGGGCCAGCTTCCTAGTGCTGCGCTTTAACCCTTCGTGCCAGCTGGGAGGGCCCTCGTCTACTTTTCACAACTCATGAGATAGGTGTGAGCAACCCCACTTCCCATGGGAAAACTAAGCACAGAGAAGCAAAGTGCCTTGCTCAACTTCATCACTGTCACTAAGGTAGAACTACCTAGTGGTGTGCAACCTGAAATCAGACCCCAAGCTGTGAACTCCATGTTAAACACCTAGTCTGGGCTGTGAGGAGGGGAGAAGAGCACTGGGGTGGGACCAGAAGAGAGGAAGTGCCAAGAGCTAGAAGAGATAACAAAGGGTGGGGTAGATGATTTACAGGGGCTAGAGAGTAGTGGGACCATAAACCAGAGGGTCCTGTCAGCAGCTGGGAGGGGAGATAAGGAGCTGGGTGAGGCTGGGACCATCCCTTTCTGGGATAGAGGCTTCAGGTCCTATATCTTTATCCCTGGCTCTGTGGGAAATTCACAGCCCAATGATCCAGAGTGTTAGCAACAGGCAGTGTGAAAGCCACAGATGGGGATGGGAGTGGAGGGTTGAAGTACAACCAGCTGGTTTGTTCCTAAGAAGAGTTTTTGAAGAGAAGCTCCCAGGAGCTTGACTTAAAGTCTCTCTCTCTGACTTCTTTCATTGGTAAGCAGTCCAGAATGTTCTAGGAATATCACAGGAAGGGGCTGCACGGCCATGTTGGCTATGCACGTGCACTCACGCGCACACACACACACACACACACACACACACTTGTTCTA